ATGAGAACGATCTCTATGAACTGATGCGGAGAAATTTTTTGGATATATCATTTAGAGAAAGCAACAAAGTACAAAAAGAATATCTGGGGCTGGGGATGTGGCTCAAGCGGTAGCGCGCTCGCCTGGCATGCGTGCTGCCCGGCTTCGATCCTCAGCACCACATACAAACAAAGATGTTGTATCCGTCAAAAACTGAAAAATAAATATTGAAATTCTCATTCTTCTTTCTCTCTCTCTCTTAAAAAAAAAAAAAAAAGAATATCTATATACATTGCAGATATATGTAAAAAAGAAGGCAACATGAGAAATATATATACATCTGATTATTTGTGTGCAAAGAAATACAGGAAAGAAAAATTAGAGACTGGTAAAATTAGATATCTACAAGGAGAGCATGGGAATTGAATGGAAAGAAATACACAGAGGATAACACTTCTGAAGATATCTTTTTATACAGGTATATTTGCAACCATGTTCCTACTTCACATTATAATACAGATAGGTAAAAAGGAAGAAATGAATGGAGGAAGGGAGGAAAAAAGGAAACACACAAAATCTGTAAGGATAGAAGGAAAGCCCTAAAAATGAATATTCAAAGAAACCAATGAACCAGATTGAATTTCAAATAAAAAACTACACTAAAAAGTGAGAGTGGAAAAAAGGTAACCCAATTAACTTTTGAACACAGCATTTGGACTATACACCCTTAGGCTAAAGACCAAAGCACTCTAAATAAATATTAAACTCAATTGGTAGGCTTCTTTTCTTCAGGCATGTACTACAATTCTGAAATCACTTTTTATACACGCTAGAATTAAGCAATTAAATAAGTATATGTGGATAAAGAGGGCCAGATTTTGTAAAACAAGGGAGTTACAACTATGCAGTGCTAGACTGGGATCAGAAGATATCTGTGTGAACTCATGAGTTCTCATGACAGACAGCAGATAGAAAGACACATCAATATCAAATTAAATATTTGTACATCAAATTAATGGCAGTAAAAGATTATCAACTCAATGAAGTAACTAAGAGTCTACACTGAAATAAATAAATAGGAAGAGAAGGGAAAGCTCTTCTTTATAGTAGCAATTCAACTGATAAATGTAGAGGAAAGGATAACATTGGAAATCACCATTGCCAACTACTGTAATAAAAAAAAAACTGTCTCAACAAAGAATCATCAATGAATGCTTAAACTAGTAAGTAAATGTCTGGGAAATAAAAAGATATTAACATAATCTCAAAGGTAGACAGACACTCTTAGTTACAAAACGTAAAAGAGTAGCTTTATAATGGAAAAACTTGGCAGATATCACTTTAATAAAGCCAACACTGCCAACAATGGTCTAAATCTACACAGCATGTACTTTCTGATACCATACACTGATAAGTACTTAGCTTTACTTTGGTGATTTTCCTGCCCCAGGTGCATAATCTAGAAGATAGTTATGAGAAGACATCAGACAAACCCAAATCGAGAGAAAATCCTCAAATAATTAGCCAGTAGTCTTCAAAAATGTCAAAGTCATGAAATACAAAAATAAAGATTCAAAAATAATTCAGATTAAAGGAAACTAAAGAGATAGAACAAATGAATACAATTCATCATCTTGGATTTTCTGCTGCTCTAAACATTACTAGTGTGATAGTCAAGCCAAAGTGACTCCATTTTGTTTAGTAACTCCATTTTATAAAACAACCATGCCAAATAGAAAGGTCATGACTGGGGCAAGTTGTCCTTTTCCTTTTTGCTATAGAAACCCTTAAGAACCCGGAACTACCTAAAGTGGCATTGTTTCTGTAACTAGAGTAATGGGGCTGTGTTTCTGTAACTGGGGTGACTGGGCTAATTGTGATTGGTTAAGCTTCCCGCCGCCTGACTGCAATCTCCCATTTCCGTAACTTGGCTTGCTTGCATTGGCTGGACCCCCAAATATCCCTTTTGTGGTTTTCAGGCTTAAAAGGGGTGCTCTTACAACGTTAGGGGGTGACCACAGGAACAGACTTTATGTTCCCAGTCAGTCGCCACAGATGTGCTTCAATAAAGGCACATGAGTGGTCTGGAAGTCAATTTATGAAACCCCAGGATGATGCTTTAACTATAACACAAGGACAGCTTACAAAAATCTCAATAAGATCAGTAAATTACAAAATGGTATCATTTGAATTGTAATTTGGAGATTTGGGTAATTACGATTATATAAGAACATTCCTCGTTTATAGGAAAGACAAGTACTTAGGGATTTAAAAAAAGGCAATATATCTACAACATACTCTTAATTAAATAGTTTAGAAAATAATATGTGTATTTGAAAAGAGTGAAAGAGGGAAGGGATATGTAGTAAAATGTTAATATTTGGAGAACCGAAAGAAGAGTATCCTGGAATTGTGTATTATTCCTGCAATTCTTCTGTCAATCTGAAATTATGTCAAAAAAGTTTTTAAAACGTATTTGTAAACCAAAATAAGATATTACTACATGCCATGAAATAACTAAACTTATAGCAACTAGATTTCTCATACATTGTCAGTAGGAAGGTAAAATGGTACTATCAATTTGTAAAAAGATTCAATGATTAGTTGTAAAACTAAATACCTACCCCAGGACCCAGCAATTTCACTTTTAGGTTGTTTACCCAAGAGAAATAGAAATATATTCATAAAAAGATCTGTACAAGAATGCTCATAGCAGCTTTATATATAATCACAAACTGAAATAGCCCAGGTATCCATCAATTGAGAAGGGATAAATAAGCTCTGGTACACTTATACTATGGAATCAGCAAGAAGGTTACAAAAATGAAATACTGATACATACAAGAGCATAGAAGAATCTCAAAAAATTCACACCTAGTTGTTATGTTTGGGATTCTGAAAATAACCCCTGAAAAGCTCATGTTTTGACAGCATGATCTCAATGCAGAATGGTTCAGAGATGGGGCATTTAGGAAATGATGAGAATTGTAACCTCATCAAGGGATTAATAATTTGAGAAGACTACTGGGTGGTAACTAGAAAGATGGGGTATGGCTAGAGGAACAGGCCACTGGGGGCATGCCCACAGGGATTATATCATGTCCTTGGTACCTCGCACAGTCTCTCTCTTTGCCTCCTGGCTGCCACAAGCTGAACAGCTTCCCTCTGTTATGCCCTTTTGCCAGATGTTCTCCATCACTTCAGGCCTAGAACAATGGGTTCAGCCAATCTTGGACTGAGCCTCTAAAACCATGAGCCCAATTTTAACTTTTCCTCCTCTAAATCATTGTTTTCTGATATTTTGGTCACAGAAATAAAAAGCTAACGCACCTAGTGAAAGAAACCTTATACAAGAGTACATACTGTGTGTTCACAATTATATGAAGTTCCAGAACATGCAAAACTAATCTACAATAGGAAAAAAAATCAAAATAATGGTATCCTCTGGAGAACAGAAATGGAAATGGGACATATGAGAGTTTTCTAGGGTAACTGAAATCTCTATTTGCACAGAAGCAAAAGTTACAAACGTGGATGTGTTTGTCAAAACTCAGGAAATGTGATAAGATGCATACATTTCTGATGTAAAATTTATATCAAAAGAAAAAACTGGCAAACAAAGAGTGAATTCTAGAGGACAATATGCATGTACAAGTAGTTATGAGTACTCAACATTTGCATAACTTTCAAATGTGTCAAAAAATAAAATGGGGGGGGGGGCGGGATTGTGGCTCAGTGGTAGAGTGCTTGCCTAGCATGCAAGAGGCACTGGGTTCAATCCTCAGCACTACATAAATGTAAAATAAAGATATTGTGTCCACCTAAAACTTAAGAATAAATATTAAAAAATAAATAAATAAAATAAAATGGGTTTGATGGATGGATGTCTAGAAGGATGGATCAAAGAATAAATGACTGAAGAAAGGTGAACAATGACTGGCTATTAGATAAATATTAGGGTATTATTTTCTGTCTATTTTATTTGGTGTGACAATGGTATTATGAGAAAATATAAGAGTTTATTTTTAGGAGAAAGCATGCACAAGTATTTAAAAGTAAGGCATTTATAATGTCTGCAACTTACTTTTGTATGATTCTACAAAAATTTTAGGGAGACAGACAGGTAGAAAAACAGGACAAATTGTTAACAACTGTTAAATCTAGAAGGTGGTTCAGAGTATTCATTGCCCTTTCTTGATCTTTGAAATATAATAAACATCTGAAGAAAAACAAAATAAATAAAATTACCTGGGTCTGAAATTTCCTGAGGTGACTTGTTCCATCTAGTTGGGTTCTGGACATTAGATGAACACTGGTAGGAGCTGGATGGCCTGGTCCCATTATGTTAGATAGTGAAGAACAATAGCAATGGCCTAGTCATCAGGCAAGTCTTCCCTAAAAACCATTCCTAAAATGAAACAGAGCTAATTTCAGACCAACAGTATTCAAACAATAAAACAGATAAACATACATGTCATGCTCACTTAACAATATTTTAAAAGTAACTCATACCAACATCATGCAAAAAATGATTGCTTAGAGACAGTTTCTTTCATTTATAAAAGCAAACACACTTTTGAAATTCTCATTTTCAAAAGAACAGGGGAACACTTACTATTTTAATGACAATCTCTTCAGCCCTTTTCATTCCAAACTTCAAATCTTAATGGTCTCCAGTAAGACATTATTCCCAAAACAGAGCTCTGCTAAGATAAACTAACATTTTGAGGCAGGGTGGTTTTATGGGTATATATTCTATACTAATTCTAACCATGAGTCAGAAAGCAATGTGCTTCACTCTTCCAAATAATCCAAATAAACATAACTTTGAATGACTCTTAGGTAAACCTGGGGGAATCAGAATTCCTAAAATTTAAACCAGGATCTGCCATTAATTAGCTGAGTGGCCCTTCTAAATCTTCATGAGGACGTAGACACTAAAGCATTTAGTGAGCTGAAAGGATCTATGTCCTTATCATTATTGTTGCCTATCCTGAAGGCCTCTGTATACTTTAATAGCTCTGCCACTCAGGTGCCTGTCACACAGTGTTGTTTCATACTGTTATTTACTTATTTCACAGGTAAATGTCTCATCTTGCCAGCTAGACAAGGTTCCTTGAGGTTAAGGAACCCTGTCTGTTCTATTTCCCACAACACAGTTCTCTGAGCATAGTAGACAATTTAACTCAACATTTCTTGAGTAGATTTTTTGAGAACAGACTAGTTTTAAATATACTAGGAAATAGTTCTCTCAAAGACTCTTATGGTAAATCAATTGGAAAATTAAGGGTTAGAGAAAAAAAAAATTCCTACTTAAGCCGTTGAATAAATTCAAGGTTTACACACTACATTTGCCCAAAGACAGATAACACCTCTAGAAACATAAAGACAGCTATCCAAGATTCCTTATTTCTAAGGCTACAGAGGCATGATTCAAGAAGCAGATGGGAGGGGTACATGATTGAAGCAATGAAACGGTCTTCACATCACCAAGGGTCAGGGACTAAAGCCACAGAATGCACTGCAGAATTGGGGCCAGAGCACTCACAACTTTTATATGATAAGTACTTTTCCCCTGGATGCTTCTTTATGCCAAAGGCCTGACAGTCCATTCTCCACCAAGAAAAAACTATGTGGTCCCAGAATTCCAGGATACCTTGAGTGATCACACATACACACACATACAAACACATAAAGTTCAGGGACACCCCCACTAAATTGTTCCCCTATACAAAGTCCTGGGACACTCCTCTCCTAGCAATCAGCCCATTCCGCATTGTTCCAAGAAACCTCCCAATTTGTCACCCTACATATTCTGAGACATCTCCATCAAGTTATCTTTCCCCCTGTTCTGGCACTGCTATGGCCTGTGCCTGCATCCATAACCCAGGACAAACCTCCCCACAATCTGTTCCCTCCCATAGAGCCCCAACTTGTTCCCTTATACATACTACTGGAATCCCCCCCACAGTCTGTCCTCCCCCACATAACTGTCTCTCAAATCATTCCCCCTCACCCTGATTCCAGACCCTTCTCCAACCTGTCTCCTCCCTCTATGCTCTGGGGGATCTCTGAAATGGCTGAGACCCATCTCCTGCCTTGAAACTGGGGGAACCACCAAAGCCAATCTTGTCCTAGACACTCCAGGAGCATTCTCACAGGCTGTTTCTTCACCCACAGACCTTGGACAGCTCCATAACCTGGCATGACCCCCACAAGTGTGAGACACCCCGACAGCCTGGCATGTCCCTGACAGTCCCAGGATACCTGTACCTCCTGACTCCTCCCCTAAGGGCCCCGCTCCCTCTGTGGACTGCCTCCTCACTACTGTCAGGCCCGAGACATCTACACCTGCTTCTTCCCCTGAGGACCCAGTCACCCACACAGCAGCAGGCACACGCCCAGCTGTGGGAACTCCTATAGCTGCAAGCATTCCCAGAGGCACAGGCACCCTCACAGCCTCAGGGACTGTTCCACTGGTTCTCCTTTGCCACAGGCCCGAGACACCTTCAGAACCCATCTCCTCCTCCACAGATCCAGGAATACTGGCAGCAGTGGGCACCTCAGTGACTCGTCTCCTTCCCCATATGTTGGAGTCATTGCCAGAACTACTATCTGGCTCCATCGGGGGCCCAGAAGTTGTGGGAATTCCCATGGCCATGGACACTCTAGCAGTCACAGGCACTCCAGCAGCCTGTCCTCTCCCTGATAAGCCCAAGAGACCCTCGGAGTGTCTCTCCTCTCCCAAGGGCTCAGGGAATCCCATAGCCCTATATATCCCTGCAGCCTGCCTGACCCCTGACAAGCCTGAGATGCACCCAGAGCCAGTCTTCCCCTCCATGGGCTCAGGCATCCTGGCAGAAGTGGGCATCCTTGTGGAACCCTTGGTATCTGCAGGTCCTCTCACTGTCTGTCTCTCCTTGCATAAGCCAGAGACACTTCCAGCTTCCTCTCGCATAGGCTTAGTTGCCCTGGGAGTCAAAGACCCTCTACTAGCTGGGGATACTCCCATAATCACAGGCATTCCTACAGTTTGTCTCCTTCCCAAGAAGCCTGAAGAACCCCCAGAACCAGTCTGTACCTCCAGAGAACCAGGTACCTCAGGAGCCATGGGAATCTCAACAGCCTGTCTTCTTCCCCAAGAACCCGGAAAAGCCCCAGAACCATTATCCTCTCCCACAGACCACAGCTCCTCAGGAGACATGGGGCCCCCTGAAGCTACAGGCATTCCAGCAGTACAAGCTGTTTCCCATGGGTTCATGACATCTCTAGCACTATCTTCCTGACACACAGGGCCAGATGCCCACACTGCAGCAGGCACTCTGGCAGGTACCTTTCCAGGCCCGGGCACTTCCTGAGCTATGGGTACCCCTGCTGGGGCATACCTGTGCTTGGGCACACCAGCTGCCTGAGGCACATCCACTATCTCAGATACCCCCACTGCCTGCCTACTCCCACACAGACACGATACAGCTCCAGAGCTGGTTTCTTGATCTGTCCCTAAAGCTTCTGGTACCAGGTCCTGTTGCCCTTCCATTGTGCTCCTCCTTTTCCACAGGTTCAGGACATTCCCAGTATGTGTCTCCCTGACATTAAGCTCTGGCACTGCCTCAGTCAGAGGCGTTCCCAGAGGCTGCTGCCTCTCCCACAGGCCTGGAACGCCACCATAGCTGCTCTCTTCTTCCAAAGTTCCTGGAACCACTACAGCCTGGGACACCCTAGAAAGCTGCCCTATTTCCCACAATGCTGGGATGCTTGCACAGCCTGTCTCCTTCCCCAAAGCCCTGGGTACTCCCACAGGATGTTCTATACCCCACAGATCCCTGGCACCCTGAGAACCTGTCTCCTGCTCCCTGGAACCAGACAGCTCTGCAGTCTGTGCAGCTCCCAATATCCCTGGGTCACTGCCAGAACCTGTCTCTACCCACATAGCTTGTCCCCTTTCTCTTAATCCTGGGTCACCCACATATCTAGTTTCTTCTTCAGTGGCACAAGGTACTCCTACAGGCTGTCCTGTGCCCCATAAGGCAGGAATACCCTCAGAGCTTATATCATCCACCTCTTGTCTCCTCTGCCACATGCCTGGGGCACACACAGGGGTAGTTTCCTCCTCCTCAGCTCTGGGCACCACCATGACATTAGGGACTCCCCCAGTCTGTACCCTCCCCCATAAGCCTGGGGTATCCCCACAGGCTGTATCTTGTGCCAGAGCCCCAGGAACTAGCTGTCCTCTGCCCCACAGACCTGGAGGCTCCCCACAACCCACCTCAACCTTGACAGCTCTGGGCACTCCCACAGCTTCAGGCAACCTCATGGTCCCAGGCACACCCCCAGTCTGTCCTCTTTGCCAAGGACCTGGGGCACATGCAGAGCCTATCTTCTCCACAGCCCCAGAAAAGCTCAGGGGAGGCAGCACACTCCCAGTCTGTCCCTGCCCACAGACTGCCCTTAACCCCATGGTTCTGGGCAGTTCTGAGGCCCGGGGAATTCCCCTCACCTGTCCCTTTACCCAGGGTCCTGTGACACCACCTCGGCTTGTCTCTACCCAGGAAGCCCGGCCAGGAACACCTCTTTCTACTGGCCCCTCTCCTGAAGGCACAGGACAGAGCTCCACTCTGCTTCCATCCCCACATCCTGAAGCTGCTCTCATAGCCTGCACCTTCAACCACAGTTCCAGAATGCTCCCATGTCCCAGAGCTCCTGGACGACCTTTTCTCTCACAACCTCGGGGACTCTTATCACTTGCCTCCTCCCCAGATCCAGTCACCCACACAGACCCTGTGGGTCCCACCACCTCGGGCTCGCCCAAAGTCCCGTTCACCCACACGACCCTGCGGTCCCTTGCAGCCTCAATAAAGCCTGCAGCCCCAGGTGTTCCCAAAGCCTCGCTCGCTCCGGCAACCTCCGAAGACTGTCTCCTCCCCAATGGTCGCTGCCGCCTTTCGACACTCACACACCGCGTCTCCCACACCGAGGACCTCGCCCGGCGCCTCGCTCCAAAGCCTCGAGACGTCCCTGCACCCCATCTCCTCCCCCAAGGCCGACGAACTTCCCGTCCCAACCTGCTAGGGCCCACGCAGCGACCCAGCATCTTTGCCGCCAGGTCGCCCCTGCGCAGCCTGGGCAAGGACCCACGGCCAGTCGCCCCACTCATAGCTCCAGGACAATTCCGTTCCCCAACACAGCTCCGGGGCACTGTGTGTCTTAGCACCTGGCCCCCTAGGCTGCTCCACACACGCACTCACACATTCGGTTCCGGCCCTCGCAGCCTTTCTCCTACCCAGCCTCCCCAACCACCCCCGCCCAGTCCTGGGCTCCCGCCCCCCGGGCCCGGACCCCACTAAAGCTAGATAGGAGAAGAACTCATCGGGGAAATGAAACAGAAGGATCTGCCGGGTCAAGATCTCCTTCCCCTCAGGTCAGTGACGCCTAACGCAACTTCCCAGAATCCCCCCAGCTCCAGCTCAAGCCCACCTGGCCCGGGGCGAGGCGCGGCTACCAGTAGGCGGGCAGTGGGGCCCCCAACTAGGCCTCGCTTCCGGCCGCTCTCCCAGTCGCCATAGCAATAGGCGCAAGGCTGCTTGGGAGCCGAAGAGACTCCCCAGCCGCTTGAGGGGTCCAGGTGTTGCAGGGCTGCAGGTTTTGCAGCTAATCTCCATGGGGCCGGAACCGGGACCCAGATCAGGGAAGAAGCCTGAGTTTGGGTGGGAAACCGCCCTGAAAGAACTGAAAAACAACAGGATAAATACGGTGCTGGTTAATTATGGCCTTCACAGGCTCCGTAGCTTGGCAGAGCGGCGCTAGATCCCGAGGTACGGTCCTATTCCCGCCCACCCGGAAATGGCTTCTCCCCACCCCGAGGGCGACCCGCCCAGCGGCAGCTGCAACGTAGACTCCTCCAGTACGCAGTACTCATGGCTATCTACGAGGAGGTGAGCGTGTCGGGCTTCGAGGAGTTCAATCAGGCTGTGAAGCAGCACCTGGGCAAGACTATTTTCGCCTACTTTACAGGTTCTAAGGACGCCGAAGGGAAAAGCTGGTGTCCCGACTGCGTGCAGGGTGAGGCCGGAATCTGGGTACTGCCCAGAAGTGGTGGGAAGACGGATTGAACCCAGGGCCTTGTGCATACAAGGCAAGCACTCTACCAACTGAGCTACAACCCCAGCCCCCTTGAAGCCCGGTTCTTAAAACTTCATTTCCCCAAATGATCTAGTCGTATACGTGAGTTGGTCACTTTTCAGTCTGCAAATATTTCTGCTTTTCATTGTTTGGGGCGTGTGGTGTAGATCAATGTGGCTCTAAGACCAGAAGAGAACACCTGACTCTGTTAAACTCCTCTGTTAAGTGAAAAGTCTAACTACAGGTTAAAGTCTGAGTACTTATCAAGACTGGGGAAGAGGGGAGAGGATTGTGGAGTTGATGTGCAATTATTTTATGTTAATTTTTTTGTTTTTTTTTTTAAGCGGAACCAGTCGTTCGAGAGGGGCTGAAGCATATTAGTAAAGAATGTGTGTTCATCCACTGCCAAGTAGGAGAAAAACCTTAGTAAGTAACAATGTATATATGTTGTGTTTCGGACATGCACTAGACTTACAGGTGAAAAGGCCCTCAGATTTGCACAGATTCTTTGTTATAAGATAAACTGTAATAAGTTAAAACAACGGGGACCTATTAAATTCAAATTTATAATGCATATATTCAGACTCTTGAATTAAGTAGAGGTAACTGAATGAATGTGGCCTGTTTCAGTTCAGTACTTAACTGGCTTTATAGTATTTTGCATCTTAGTCACATTTTAAATTAAAAATTGCAAAGGGTAGTAATTTATAGTCCTCAACTTTTTAAAATGTTTACAACATCAGTGATTACTAAAATACTAACTATCAGGACATATCACATACTAAGCAAACAGTATAACCAAGTAAATTTTTTTTTTCATAACTTTTTTTGGGGAATAGTTGGAAAGATCCAAATAATGACTTCAGAAAACAACTGAAAGTAACTGCAGTGCCTACACTAATTAAATATGGAACGGTGAGTGTATTTATTCTTTTGATACCAGGGACTTAATCCAGGGGCATTTACCACATCCCACTCCCTTTCTATTTTGAGATAGGGTCTTGCTAAGGTAATTAGGGCCTCATTAAATTGCTGAGGCTGGCCTCAGCCTCCCCAGTCACTGGGATTACAGGTGAGGTTCTGAGCCTAACAGGTTATCGTTCTTTAAATACCTTAGGAATTCTAATTCACTTTGTCAAGACACTTTTAACTTGTTCTAGAGTCATATTTGAAAAGATGTTGACATTCCATCTCAAACATCCCATTGTTGTTCAGCATGCTTTAAAAGATATACAACCAGGCTGACCGTCCCCTACTCAATCCCAATAAACTGCTAAAATAATGCAAATATTTAAATAGTTGATTTTTTTTTTTACATTTTAAAAATCCCTTTTCTTTAAAAATTTAATAGCCAGAAAGTTGGTTGACTCACAATTCCTTAAAGCACTAATATAATGATTTTCTGTTAATACATTATTCAGGTTTAAAAGAAAGGGCAACTCCTTTATTTCAGTCATGCACTTGGGATCCTAAATTAAGGAGTTCAGGGCAAAGGACAGCTTTGGGCTTGCTGTCTCCTATTTTGGTTAGTGGAGCTTCCTGGTATTTGGGGTTTAAGGCCTTTAAGCCAAGTATTTTAATGATTCACCTTAAGGCAAAATGTCTTAACTGTTTTTATAAGACTTGTTATTCTGGCAGGTTTTTTATATTCAATGATTTGTGTTATTCAAGCTAAAACTTATTCCACTCCTAATAACACCATGTGGCAATGCTTAAGACTTGACTGTTCTTTTCTTACAGCCTCAAAAACTGGTAGAATCAGAGTGCCTTCACGCCAACCTTGTGGAGATGCTGTTCTCTGAAGATTAAAATTTAATGATGGCAACTGTATCTTGATTTCCTGGTTTGCTCTAGTTATAAATAATGACTTTATTTTAGCAGTAAATAAATGATATGAAAATTTGCATTCATTTTAGCAGTAAATAAATGATACGAAAATTAGCTAATGTCTAAACAATAAAGAATGCTTTTTAAAAATACTCATGAACCTTCAATTTTCTTGTAACATATAGCCATCTTAAAGATTTGAGTAAAATAAGTTCAGCAGTGGCAGTCATAGTTCAAAGGAATATATTATTGGAGGTTAAAAAAATAGACAACTTCCAAATCTCTGAAGGGATTAGGATCTTAAATTCCATGAATTTGCAGAACAATAGATATTTTTAAAACCACTTCTTTGCTTTTGGAATGTAGAATTTAACCACTTAGAGAAAGTACAGCATGAATCTAATCCAGCTGCTTAATTCAGGCAGTTCTGTTTTATAGCTGTGTGAATGTGCTTCACTTGAGGAAGACTGGAGACCAGATAACATAGTTATAAGAACTCTAGAATGTGAGTCAGACACACTGATTTTAGTGCTTAATAGCTTTTTTCCTCCTTTACAAATAAGGATCAATGAGAATGCAAGGCAGCATTTAAGGTGCATGTGGTTTTGTAGTACTGGCCAAATATTAACTTTCCCAAATGAACACAAGCATTTGAGGCTCATCTTTGTTCAAACTTGAGGTCAAGAGTCCAAACACCAATCTTCTCCATACCTTTCACTAGGTCAGTGACATACTAACAATTCTTTCTTAAAGTTGCTATCTGGCTGCTGGGATTGTGGCTCAGCGGTAGAGCATTCACCTAGCATGCGTGGGGCATGGGGCGCATGGGGCCCTGGGTTTGATCCTCAGCACCACATAAAAGTAAATGAATGAAATAAAGGTATTGTGTCCAACTACAACTAAAAAAATCTGGCAAAGTATTTCCTTTCCTATAGAATGTAAAAACCTTTATGGGATTTTTGCTTTGTGATTTAACAAGAGGTCCTCCACTCTAGTCCTTTCTTTCAGTAGATAAGAGGGGTGGAAAAGGTGATCCAAGAGATAAAAAGATTCAAGAGAGGACTTGCCCCAGGGACTATTGTAAGTCATGAAATAGGCTTAGAGTTAATTACATTTGATAGCCCAATCCCCTGCACCTAACATTTCCATTCTTTCTTGATTCTGTTAAATGTTAATAAAAATTTACAAATCCATCCGGAAATCAAAGTAGAACAAGTTTGGCTTAACAGAAATAATGTATTAACAATAAAAAGTTAGCTGGATTTAAAAGCACACTAAAGTATCCAGATGCTACCACGATAAAGGTAGGCAGGAAGTCTCTTGTTTTGTCTTCACTGTATAATGGAAATACATTATATATAGTTTTAAGAGCCTGATCTGTTTCCAGCTTTTCATTTTCCTGACGTGTTATTTTGCTGTTGCTGTTCTGCCAGGGCTTGTTGAAGGCGCATCCGCTTCCGAGAATAGTGTTGCCAGTGTAGAATCTGCTGTTCGTCAATGAATTTCGCACACTGAGCATTCACCAGCTCCTTTCGAAAGTGTTCATATTGGAGCAGTTCTAACATATGTAAACACTGAGGGTACCTGGGTTTAAGTTTATAAGTTAATGACCAACATAATTTAAGTCAATAATGCCAGTTCTAATACATCTAATTGTACAGCCTACCATTTCTATTAACATTAACTTAGTGCACCTTGGTAGTATACTATAGATCCATTGTCCACCCCCAAACCCCTTCCTTATGTAGAGAAGCTAGTCAACAAAAGTCATTATTGAAAAAAATTTTCAAAAGCAAGAAAATTTAAGTTCAGAGTAGTTAAATAACTTGCCCAAGACCACACAACACAGTGATACACAGAGTCAAATTCTGGAGATAAATCATTCTATTCTAATAGCCAGAAAGTAACATGAACACTTTTAATTTTAGCAATTATGTATTTAATTTATAACTATTGGTTTTCCACCAATAGTGAAAAAAGACAATTTTTATTGTGAGTCAGCTTCAAAAAGAACTATGTACAAACACTGTTCTATAGATTTTCACAGGTATTAGAGCAATTCTAAAATTATTATACTCTCAATTGAGTTAACAAGTATATTGTGGATAAACAGAGCCAACTTTTTGGCAGTCAGAAAAGAAGTTATAGATAAGAAAAGCAGGGAGGCTCCAATGAACCCTAAGTTATTGAGCTAGAACTGAAAACACTAGTATGTACTCATGGCTTTAAATGTATACAGACATAGAAAACAGATGTGTATGTGTGTGCATGTACACAATTTCTAGCTTTGTGTTCATTCTAAAAGGGCTTAGAAGCAATGACGAATGAGCATGCTTAGTGCCCAGACTGTGGTTTTCAAACAGCATTTTCCAGAGTTCTTTAGAGAAATGAGTAATTCCAGGTCTAGGATGGGAAAAATAAGGATAAGCTTGGTATGCTGTGCCAAAAAGAAATGCTAAGCATTGATGGGAAACTGTCGAAAAAGCACTTGGAAGCCCATCTGAAGATGCTCTCAGTGGCCAAGTTTGGAATAGAATAGACGTAATCTACAGGATACAAAAAAACCCAAGTCCACAGTGATGTATATAGGAATGTAGAATACATAGGAATTCTCTTTTCTATTCTTAGTTATTTTGTAAGTGAACTTATTTCAAATTAAAAAGAAGTAAAGTTTAAGACTATTAAAATACATTAAATCATATAGGGAGTACACAAACCCAAACTGCAAGTGATATGCAAACTGACTAAAGTTTGTTAATCATTTATAGACTAGGGCATTGCTTCTTTAATGTGCATAAAAATCACTTCTCAAAATGCTGATTTAGGAGCTAAGGGTACAGCTCAGTGGTATTACTCTTACCTAGCATGCATGAGGCCCTGAGTTCAGTCCCCTGTACTACAATCTAAAAAAAGAACTAATAGATTCTGATTCCGTAGGTTTTTGAGGCCTGACTTCTGCGTTTCTAACAAGCTTTCAAATGAAACCAATACTGCAAAGGTCTGGAAAGGATACTGAATAGAAGGGATAACACTACAGATCCTTCCAAGATGTTAAAGATTTCTATTCATACTCCAAAAGTAAATAGTTGCCTGTAATTATTGGAAGAAGCCTAGAATGCTTTATTCACACTGTCCTGGCTAATTCCTTTCCAAGACATCATCAGTAGTTAAAAGATCTGGTCCACAGTACCCGCTGAGTGACCTTGAATAAGGTACTTAACACTCTAAGTACCATTTCTTCATCTGAAAAATAAATAAATGTGACAGACAACCAAGAAAATGGTCTCAAGAAACATTTAGTCAATAATTGGAATTGAGACACAGTTATCATTTATCATATCAAACTTGTAGAAAACAATGCTCAGAAAAGACAGCAGTTCTAAGACTCAGATTTACTTCCTCTAGCAAACACCGTCTATTCAAATACCGATTCCTGTGTGATCTTTAATTTTCAGTCTATGGGTATGTCACTTCATTAGGTTCCTTGGGATCAGAAACTCAGTGAGATGAGGACAGTGGTAAAAAGACAGGTCAAACAGACCAAGTAAGGAATTATAAATAATTTGAAAGGATATTAATATTCTCTGATAGGTCATAAATCCACAAGATGAAATAGAAGAGGCACAAAAGGGGAGTCTTACAATTAGACTTTTTCAAAAATAAGATAAGGATTGAACCCAGGGCACTGAGCTACATATTCAGCCCTTTTTATTTTTTTTATTTGGAGACAGGGTCTTGCGGAGTAGCTTAGGGACTCGCTAAGTTGCTGAGGCTGGCTTTGAATTGCAATCCTCCTGCCTCAGCCTCCCAAGTTGTTGGGATTACAGGTGTGCACCTTAACCTGGCATTCTTCCTGATTTTAGAGTAGCTAGAAATTTGGATTATTATATAAAACCTTCCCATTTTTAACCCAGCATGTTCATGCTTGTCAACCTAGGTGCGTGAGATGCATAGGCAGGACGATCTCAAGTTCAAGGCTAGCTTGGACAACTTAGACACTGTCTCAAAATAAAAAATTTAAAAAAAGCTAGGGATGTAGCTCAGTGGTAAAGGGCCCTTGAATTTAATCCCTAGAGTTCCACCAAAAGGAAAAAAACAAAAAACAAAAAACCTTCCCATCTTCAAATTGGTGGCTACTATTTTAAAAATCTAAAAACCTGTGCAGATGGAATGAAATGCCCAGTGGATTAATTTGCAAAAGTTTCTGAATTCAAATATCTATATGGCTGTAGTCTCCAAGAGGTGATAAAGTGATTCTGGACTAACCCAAAAACAAAACTTGGAAGAGGTTAAAGCTGCAAGGAGGTTTATTTTATCACAATATAAGAAAGAACTTTGTTAACATCTGGAGTCAGCTCTCCCTGATAGAGTAACACAGTCACTGGAAATTTCTAGGCAGAGTGTAAACAACCAACTCTCAGCAACAATGTGAGATTGAATTGGATGGTGCCTAAGGCTTCCAACACTAAGGCTGTAAATCTGCCTACATACAAACATATAGTAAAGTCTTTTTTTTTTTTTTCTTTTGGCTTATTAAATGAATCAATAGTTTCATAAAGAACCAGTCAGGGTGCAGAGTCTTACAGCAAGCACATGGGATGTCTGCTTTATGAATCAGGTCAGGAAAGTGATTTGGACAAAGAATAAGTTTGAAATTTTTCTTCTCAAACTTTTGTTTTTTAAAAAGATTTCATGTTTGCTTTTTGACTATCTGGTTAAAACAAATCACAAGTGTGAATTCAAGGTTTATTTTTACCATTACAAGAACTTAGGTCTGTGGTTACAACATGCTTCTTAAAATCTAGTAAGTCTTAAAATGAAAGTATCTGTTGAATCTGAATGGTGTGTGTATTTTCTTAAGTGAATTAATGGATGTGAAGTATTTTACACAGTGCATGAGGCCATGAAGAAAAGACAGCAGTTCTAAGACTCAGGTTTACTTCCTCTAGCAAACACCGTCTATTCAAGTATCGCTTCCTGTGTGATCTTTAATTTTCAGTCTATGGGTATGTCACTTCATTAGGTTCCTTGGGATCAGAAACTCAGTGAGATGAGGACAGTGGTAAAAAGGTCAAACAGAACAGAACAGATCATAATATGACTTTAGCTCAAGGAGACTGGACTTTTCCTGCATGGAATGGAAGGCCACTGAAGGTTTCTAAGCAAGAAAGTGACATGTTCTGATTTTCATTTTTAAGAGATCAAACTGGCTTCTGTGCAGAAAATTATTTTGCTTCATTGAGTTTGAGAGGACTGAGGTAAGAATGGAAGCAGAAATAACCAACAAGTAGATATTCCAAGTTAGAAATAAGGGAGTTTTATATTAAGGTGGTGATAACTAAAAATGGAGATTCATATTTTTTCCAGTGTGAAACTAAGAAGTCTGCTAAATACCAGTGCTTCAGATTAAATAAAGTACATACATATTTAGAATTATAAAAATTAAACTTACTTTAGATACTTGGCATATTCTGGTTCTTTCCAGTAAAGCAAGTACTTAAGATAATTAACAAAAGCTTTGTCTTTGAAGTAACCTCTTTGGGCAAGAACTGAAAAGCATGGAAAAAAAAAAAAAATCTGTAGGTCAAACCAATCCTTGGACTACAGACTTGTGACCCCCTGATATAAAGAATCTACTTATTTAACTTTCCCACAAATGAATTCAATTCACAAGTCCTAGTTTGCTCATTTATATATATAAGCCAGCATAAGTAAAATTCCATTCAACTGAGAATGTATAAAAAGCAAATACTACTATGAATTGCATCTCTTCTGTCAGAAACCATGTACAGCTAGCTCCTTAATAATCAAATGACTTACAATTAAGGTAATTTGGGTTGGCTAAACACTGTACAAATTCCAACTCCAACTGAAACCGAAGTCGATTTCCAGCATCATCTAGGAGAAAAGACAGCAAAAATCAACCAAAATAAATGTTACTGTATGTAATATTTATTTGTAGACAAGAAACAGCAATGGGGAAACCTAGGAGATCTTTATATAAAGAAAAGCATATGGTGGTCTTCCTCAACTGGGTGTAAGAGAAGAAAAGCTTTCTTAGAAATCTATGAAAAGTGGAGCCCTGGTTAAAAGGAATAAATTAGGAGTTTCTCTACAATTAAAGAGAAGTCATTTTTTTTTACCTTTTTTTTTTTGGTTGTTGATAGACCTATTTATTTATATTTGGGGCTAAGAATCCAACCCAGTGTCTCACACATGCCAGGCAAGTGCGCTGCTGCTGAGCCACAATCCCAGCCCCAAAGAGAAGTCATTTAAAAAAAAAAAAAAAGGAAAACAAATGGCGGCCTACAACCTTTAGGGCCACTAGGAAGGCATGTGAACAGCAATCACTGGGGTAGATTATAACTGTGTCTTTCCCTATTTTAATAATAGGCAATAACCACAATTGCTAACAGTGATTAAGTTCAGCAAAAGCCAAGTGCTAAGTAAATTTTTTAAAAAGTTCAGAATTCAAGCTGAAAAGAAAAACTTCAGAGTGAAAAATCCTGAGAAGTTTCAGAGATAGAATGATACACAAGTTTATCGACGATATTTCAAACTTATGTAAGCTCATGTGAGAAGCAGAAAATTAGTGAAAGAGACGGTTTAAGATCGGTCTTCTCAGTCTCGCCCATACCGGGGAGATGGTGTCTACAAAGCACGTTATGGAGAAAAGATGTTTAAACAAATCAAATTCTGAAAAAGGCAAATCTGCCTTCGCCCTTCTTCCAACGCTGCTCGCCTCTCGGTCCCAACTCTAACCCTGCCGAGAATCAGACCTGAAAGGAACTCCCGGGGAAACGGGAGAAGGGGTCTGGTCGGAGAATGGTTAGATCCGCGAAGATTCGAGGCTCGGAGCAGTACTCACCTGTCTCCATAGCGACGGCAGCGGCCATAACAAGCAGAGACACTAAATCGCCAGCAGTCTGACAGAGGAACAGCCCCGAGTGTCGGGGGAGGCTCCGGAAGCCATGGCTCCTCCTTCCGGTCGCGGGGCAGTATGGGATTCGGGGGCGGGCACAGCCTCGCTAGGAGGCGGGCGGCTCCGCCCATCCCTGGCTCGCCGGGCCTGCCCCGCTTGGCTCGCAGAGGCTCACTACTGGCAAGGGGGCGGTGCCGGAGCCGCGTGGTGTCTGAGGACCAGGGTCCAGTGTTTGGAGGGACATTTCAGCCCTCACAGGACCGTGGTGCTTCTCCGTCATCTTGTCGTAGCACTCTTACCTGTGACAACTTCGTAGTTTTCGAGTTTTGCGCCTAGAGTGATGTAACATGCCATTCTGACGTCATTTCTTATCCTATGACGTAATCATGGAGGCTGTGGGCCTCCGGAAGCCTCATTGACTCTCTTGGTCCTCTTACACCCTCAGAATGGCCTCGCCCCTTGGGGGCAAGCCGTCTACTCCACGGGTGGAGACTGCCCACTACAAGGAGACGTCGACAGTCCGCGTGGAGACATCGTCCCATCGCGTGGAGACATCCTCTCTACAGGTGCGAACGTCTTCCCGGCAGGTGGAGACCTCCCACTCCCCCTCTGGAAAGCAGTTTCCTCGTGTCCTTGATGTTTCCTCCCAACACGTGGAAAGCTCCTCACAGCGCAAAGAAACATGGTCCCGCCACGTCAGGATCTCGTCTTTGCAAGTGGAGACATCTCTGCAACGTGCAGAGAGCCCGCCAGGCGGGACAAGAAGACCTCGTGCCAAAACATAAAACTGGCCTGTTGAAATGCTTCCCAAGGGTCGTGGCCCATAGCCAGGGCAGAATTGTTTCCACTTTCCAGCTAGCCAGCTGTCAGGAGGACCAATCATATTTCGTTTCATGGAAACAGCCCATAAATCAATGTAAGAAATAGCCAAGCTGCGGTTTCTGGATTCAGCCAACATTTATTGACCATGGTGCACCTTGGATCATTCCGCTTTTGACCCAGTGAACTATTTAACTTGAAGCCAGTATAAAAGGTTTTCAGGCCCGTGATACTGTGTAAAGTAAGTTGATGGACAGAGAGGCTATTTGAAACTCTGAGCCAGGTGAGTTTGGGATTCTTTAGTGCTCAAATGGGCCATCACCATTTGAAATGGGAAGAAGGACCAAACTGAAGCCATGACCCATGTACTGATCATGTGCCTGCAAGTGAATTATATGCATGCTGAAAACCTGGGGGGCAAGGAACAATTTCTCATGTATTATTCATTGGCTTTTATGTTTCAAAATAATGTGCTAAATCTTTATACGTGGTACCCCCAACCCACACAACTTTCTAACAGGTCAGATGTTAAAAACTAATAAATCCATCGACAATCAAAAATAATCTTAAAAAGAAAAAAATAATTTAAAAAAAAATCTTAGAAGAGAAAGCAAGAGGAGGTCATTCAATCCTCACCTGAGGTCTGAGGAAGGTACAGAAGAGCAATATTTATTGAGTACCTACTCTGTTATAGACACTGTTCTCAGCACAAACTATACCAGTGAAATGTCCCTCCAAAGTTCTTGCTCTGATGGAGCTTACACTTTGGTGAAGAGGCAGACAATAATAAGAAAATAAGACAATTTTCTATTGTGATTAGCACTGTGAAGGTACAATGTGATAGATAATGGACGTAAGGCAGTTCTTTAGATACGGTAGTCAAGGAAGGCCTTGCCAATTAGATAACATTTGACCTGAGATATTTGTGAGTAAACAGTGAGCCATATACAGATCTAGGGGGAATGCATTCTAGGCAGAAGGAATAGCAAGTTCAAAGCGGGATGGGAACAAGCTTGTGATATTTAGGGAACAGAAACACTTAGTACAGCTTCAGTTTAGAGAGGGAAAAAAATGTGGTATGGAATAAAAGAGATTAAAAGTAAGCAGGGAGCCAGACACAGTGGTCCATACCTATAATCCTGGCAGCTCTATAGGCTGAGGCAGAAGGATTGCTAGTTCTAAGCCAGCCTCAGCAATTTAGCAAGCCACTGACTCAAAATGTAAAAAAGTAAAGAAAGTTGGGAATGTAGCTCAGTAGTACAGTACCCCTGAATTCAATCCCCAGTTACTACAAGGAAAAAAAAAAAAAGGCAGGGGCCAGTTTATAGAGGGTCTTGTAAGTCACAACTTTTATTCTAATGTCAGTACAAAAACATTGGAGGATTTTAGCAGGCAAGTGACAGGATTCAATTTACATTAAAAGAAAAAAATACCTGTTTTCTGTACGTAGGCTGTAGGACAGTGGTTCCACTGGGGCCGATTTTGTCTCCCAAGCATACTTGGCAATGTCTGGAGATATTTCTTGCTTGGGAGGGGGTCATAGGAGACACTATCAGCATCTAGTAGGTAGAGGCCAGAGATGCCACTAATATCCTGCACTGCACAGGTCAGCACCCCATCCCTCCACCAACAAACCATTACTGGGTCCAGAGAACGTCAATAGTGCCAATGTTGAAAAATACTGAAGATTCGGGCAATTTGGAAAATTGCTAGAGCATGATCAACTGGGAAAGCACCCCACTTCTGCATAGCAGGATTGTGGGGAGGACTAAGAAACACTAAGGAAAAAGGGTTAAAGGTAGTGTCGTTTGGTAAGTAGCAGGGTGGGAACTCTCAGAGGAAAGGTGTATGTTGCTTTTTGAGGAGCCCTCCATCCCTGCTTTCAATAATTTATGTGATATTTACCCCAGGAGGACAAAAGGGTACCATCTAGAAGTCTGCTAATGAACCTGATCATGTGGGACCTTGTGAATTAGAGCACTTGCTATTTCCAGGCACTGGGCTAGATCATCACTCACATTTCTTCATTTAACTTGGGGGTGGGGGGGGGTGGGGTGCACTGGGCTGTTCCCTAGAATAGTGACTCAGGCCAAGAGAAATGTTATAAAACCCCAGAGGCTACCCCACTGCTCTGCCATATAAAACTTCTGCTATAAATGAATAATTAGCCTTTGGAATTTTAGTCTTTGGTGAGCTTACTAATTATTTTTAACATGACAGACAGTGTATACCTTATGTAAAAACACTCTTTATAAGTGTTCTTTTTTTTTTTAGAATACTTATTATTTTACATATAGATGGACACAATGTCTAAAATAAAGACATTGTGTCCATCTATATGTAAAAAAAATAAGCTTTACATGGTGCTGAGAATCAAACCCAGTGCCTCACACATGCCAGACAAGCACTCTACCTCTGAGTCACAACCCCAGCCCCTATAAGTGTTCTTTAAATGAACAAAGTAGTTGCTTCTGTTTAATGCTATTCCTCATTTTTTTTTTGTTTTTAAATTTTTTTCATCATGGGATAATTTTTCATATTTTTATTAGTGCAGTATAGTTATACATAGTAGTGGGGTTCCCTATTAATGTTTTTATTACAAAAGTGATATATGCTTAACAAATGAAATAATTCTGGGCTGGGGATGTGGCTCAAGCGGTAGCACGCTCCGCTGGCATGCGTGCGGCCCGGGTTCAATCCTCAGCACCACATACAAACAAAGATGTTGTGTCCGCCGAAAACTAAAAAAATAAATATTAAAAATTCTCTCTTTCTCTCTCTCTCTCTTAGAAATAATTCTAAGATATGTGAAGAAAAATTTAATAATTTATAATCTTTCCATTTCTGTCTTCTGGAAATAACTGATATCAGAAACTTGGTATATATCCTTCCAGGTCTTTCTCCATTAACTGACTGCCTGTATCTTCTTTTTAATAGTTACCTAGAAGACTTGTTTGAACATGACTCTGAAAAAGACAAAACACCTGATTTCTGGATGATTGATTCTCCAGGAAGGACACAGGATCCTGTTAGTTTCTTCCTGCAATCTTTGTTTCATAAGAGGTTTTGTTTTGTTTTTTTCTTCTTTTTTTTTTTTTTTGGTATCAGGGATTGAACTCAGGGGCACTCAACCACTGAGCCACATCCCCAGCCCTATTTTGTATTTTATTTAGAGACAGGTTCTCACCAGTTGCTTATTGACTCTTGGTCGCTGAGGCTGGCTTTGAACTTTCGATCCTCCTGTCTTAGCCTCCCGAGCTGCTGGGATTACAGGTGTGCACACAATGCACTGCCTGTAACTGACTGCCTGTATCTAGGTTTTATCTAGGTTTTTTCTTCCAATTTTTATTTATTCATGTTTCAGAACTTAAATCCAAAGAGACATGCAGAGCAAGAAAGTGTTGAAGAGGACAAAGTCCTGAAGAAAAAGACATCAGCCATACAAGTATCTTTTACAGATTCCACAGCTTTAAAATGATTCTGTATGTTGGAGAAACCTGTTTGTCATAATTGTTAATGTACTTACTGCATTTTGTAAATGTGTGTTAGCCATATTGTGGGTCATCCTCCTCACATGGTTGTCTCTTGGAAGCTCCAAAGGAACGTGGTGCTGTTGTACCTATGACATGCTATATAATGCTAAGCACAATGTGTGTACTTAATAATGAGTGAAGAGCAGTATTCTATCCATTCCCAGCCAAGAAAGCCTTTAATGGCTCAATCTAATAATCCATTGGATTTATTGTGGTCTGTAGTAGTTGTGACTTGCCTTCAGTCACAGCCAGCCAGGTTTTGGTTTGAGAAATTAAGTACAAGTCCATCTAAGGAAGAAGTTAGCACTTCTTATGCTCCTCCAAATCCCCTCTCATTTATATATAAGCTATGGGCAGCTTACAAAATTGATACATCTGTTGTATTGAAAAATACTTGAAATGAAAAAATGATATTGATGGGATTCTCTTTCCCCAAACTACACAAACCATGGGTAAGAACCATGAGTCTAACCAGCAAGGTTTTTGGTTCAAGTCCTGACCTGTATTTTCCAGAATTTCTGTTCCTCCATCCTTCTGTTACTCCCATCCAGTATGGCCAATACAAATATCCAAGCCTGGATACTTGATCCAGCCTCTTGGTTTAATAACCTTTAACTATGTATCTCCTACAAATAGCCTCAGCCCTTTCTATTCTACCTACCACCCTGAGCTATATATATGGTTAGAATTGCATGGCTGCAATAACAAAAACCCACCCAAAGTGGCTGAAACAAGTAGGAATTTGTCTCACACAACAGTAAGTCCCATGGCATTTCATCCCAGTAATGCCATCAGAGGTCCCGTCAGTTTTTCTGTTATACCATCTTTAGTACATTATCTTTGCCTTCCTGCCTGCTTCCTCGTGGTTACAAGTGCTTTTGTACCTCCAACTCTCCCACCTGCATCCAATCAGACAAAAGGGACCAGGGAAGGGATTGAGTTGTGTTTTTTTCCTACCAAGATTTTGCCTTATTAGTTGGAAAGGCAAACCTTTCCCAAGGACTTCTGTTTGTATTTCATTGGCCAAAACTGAATCATAATGGGTACCCTTAGCTGCAAGGGAGGTAAGGAAATCAAGTATGGCACTTCTTTCAGGTGATCGTTAGTAGTTCTCTCAAATGTCTTAGCAGTTACCTTGCTCTTTTCATCTTTAGTGTATCATTGACCAGAGTAAGTCCCTGAGGACTGTCAGAAGGCCTTCCTTATGGCCTTTGCCTCATATTGGTGCTATGGATTTGAATATCTGAAATATATTTTTACTGGATAAATTACTCTCTTTTTTTTCCTTTCAGAACTTTAAAGGTGTTGCTTCACTATCTTCTTATTTGCATTGTTTCCAACTAAAAAATTAGCTCTCTCCTATCTTTGTTCTTCTGTACAATGCTTCTCTATGACTTCATATAATTTTCTCTTTATCAATGGTTTAAGCAATTTGATTATGAAGTGCCAGAGTGAAGTTTTCTTAATGTTTCTTGTGAGTTTATTGTACCTTTTGGATCTTTGGTTTTAATAAAATCAGAAATTCTTTAGTTTTTCTGTCCTTCTCCCCCCCCCCCCCCACGGGTGTCAATTACGGGCATATTAGGCTTCTTGAAGCTATCCCACATCTCACTGATGCTCTGTTCATTTTTTTTAAAACTGTATTTCATCAGATAGTTTTTTTTTTCATCAGATAGTTTTTATTATTTCAAGTTCACTAATCTTTTTTTTCTCTTTTTTGCATTGTCCAATTTATCATAAACATTACCTCATGTTTTCTTTTTATCTCACTCATTATTGGTTTAAATAGTTGAATTTGGGTCTTTGCAATATTTTCCATATATAAATGATTTCATATATTCTGTGTATATCTATTTGCCATGTTCAACCTTTCCTCCAGTTTCTTAAACATATGCGATATAGTTTTAATAACCACTTTAATACCCTGTCTAATTCTATCATCTTTGTTATCTCTGGACAGTTTCTATTGATTGACTTTTCTCTTTATTAGAGTTGTATCTTGTTTGTTTCTTTTCATGTCTGGTTATTTTTGTTTGAATGGCAAGCGCTGTGAATTTTAACCTCACTGAATGTTGTATATTTTTGTATTCTTACAAATATTCTTGAGCTTTGTTCTAATAACTTTTAACTTTAAGTTATTTGGAAATAATTTGATCTTTGAGTCTTGATTTTAAGGTGTTGTTGGGTCAGAGTAGTGTTAAATGAAGGGTTAATGTTTTCCTACTACTAAGGCAAAACTTTCTAAGTCTCCCCTTGATAACCCCTGCTCTTAGTGCATATGAGCTTTGGAGTGGTCCTCTCCTTCAGGTGGTACTTTTCTTGCCCTTGAATAGTTTTCTCATACACATGCAAGGATCAGCCCTCAGCTGGATACTTGATGGGGACCTCTGCTTATCTCTCTCTTTCTGCATAACTTTCCCATTTTCAGCATGCTGTTCTGTGAATTCTAGCTATGTTGGCCTCTTATCCCAGCTCTTATCTCAGAGAAGTGAAAGTACTCTGCCAAAGTTCCTCCTTACGTTGCAGCCTGAAAGCTTTCTCCAAATAGTAAGCTGGGGCAATCATAGGGCTTGCCTTTGTTTCTTCAGCTATTCCAGGTAAGAGGATAAATCCAGTCCCTGTTATTCCATTCTGGTTGGAAGCCCTCTCCTCCTTATTATTTAACATAAATTTTGTTGGAGATGAACTTTGCCATTTAGTTCCCACGTAACAGAATATTCAGATGAGACTGTGACTAAATTTATGGAGTAATCATTGTAGCCTAGAGATGGATGGTATCACTATCTTCCAGAGATGGATACAATGACTGTTGAGACTTTGTGTCTCTCTTTTTTGAGGAGAAAGTATCTTTATTTCTCTGAACAATCATTGCATTATGTTTCTAACACAATGTAACTATTAGATTAATTAGATCGGGGAGTATAGAAGTTTAAATATAAATGCTGATTGGCCAATATAATTGACTGTAGCAGTTGGAATTTTGTCCCTTGACTCCAAACACCCCTTCTGTACTCAGCTTTATGGCTAAGACTAGGTCTCAAGGTATTTCTATTGAAATACCTTCATGTTAAGCTCAGGGGACAGGGAGGCACCAGAGGGAGCATTCAGTCTGGAGGAGGACAGCAAGTCTTCTCCCTGACTGCTATGTTCTTCCTCCCTCTTCCCCCATGTGCTTCCTGTGAGCATACTGACACCAACAACTAACTCTTCACCCAGGAATCAGCAATGTCTTCCCTTAGTGGTGGTTGAATATTGTTTTTAATTCTCTATTTGAAGAACCCATTTTACTGCGCCCCTCTTCAAAACACCAGTATTCCTCCAAGTTTCTAGGTTTTAGTAGTTCTGATCTCAGTTCTTTCCTGGAGGTAATGTAAGGAAAGAACTGAATGAAGGAAATCAAGAGAGAGGAGAGGTGGCTCACAGTAACACAGGTTTATTCAGACAAACCTGCAGAGAGGGCCCAGTGGAGAGTCCTTTCTTCCATTTACAGCCTAGGGTAGTTATAGGGGCATGAGGCAGTGGGGGATTTTGCTAGGGGATTGTCAGGGAAGCGTGCTTGTAGTCATCACCTCCATTGTTTAGGTGGTCACTGTGACATGTCAAACCCAGTGCTTTTCAGAATTGCAGTCTCTCAAAACAATTTTCTTTCTTTGCATGATAATGGAGTATTGCCTAGGGTTTAGGTCAGGGTGATTCAGGGTGTGAGATAACTGTTGTTCTAAGATGGAGGATATGTTTCAAAATGGTGTTGCCTGTGTCCAGTTCTTCCTAACAGGCAGGGCATCTTTTCCATATGCTTATTATCCAGGCAGGTTTCCTTTTCATGTGGATTGCCTATTCATATCCTTTGTTCATGTTCTTCTTTCTAATTTTTAAACTGATTTTTCTGAGTCCTAAATATTCTGAATACAGATTTTCATTTATTTGCATTGTAAGCAAAGTTTGTGGCTTGCCTTCCTCTTTTTAAGTTTCAGAAGACAGTTCCTCACTTTCCACCATGTGCCTCCATCTTAACTGGCTTCCTTTCATAATGGCAGCCATGTGTATCTGTCTTAATAAACTGACCCCCCTGGAGTGCTATCCCAGGGTTTTTTAAGCTTCTAGTCAAAACTATTAAAGGCTGGTCATAACCAGCATTTTAAAAAAGTAAAAAGAAGAAAATATATCAGAGTGCTTCACACTGTTTAAAATAGAGAAGAGAAAGAAGGAGAGATTTGAACAATTCAATTATGATTCAATGTCAAAAGTACTATGTTACTAGAAAGGGAATAGGCTTCTGCTGGGTCAATCCATCAAGCACCCATTGGTAAGAACATTTTGAAAAGAAGAGAATAGTAAGACAATCACTGTTAGCCTGGATACAAGCAAAAAGTTCTAGTTAAGGATTAGTAGATTTACTGAAAGTTGTTAAAAGACTTTCATGTCCTGTAAGGTTGACATAAGCTAAGTGTACAAGAAATTAGTTTCTCAGAAGAGGTCTTCATCCCATTAAATCCATCAGAAAATTGCTTAAGTATTTTATCAAAAGATAATTCATCCCTTTGGCTGGGCATGACGGTATAAACCTGTAATCCTAGTGACTTGTGAGGCTAAGGCAGGAGGATCACAAGTTTGAGGCCAGCCTCAGCAATTTATTGAGGCCCTAAGCAAGTTAAGTGAGACCTTCTCTCAAAATAAAAAAAAAATAAAAAGGTCTGGAAATGTAGTTTGTTGGTTAAGTATCCCTAGGTTCCATTCCCAGTATCAAAAAAAAAAAAAAAAAGATAATCCCTCAAAAGAAGTTTGTAGCTTCTATTCCCAAAACATCCCTGAGCCAGCTAAGGTGTGGGATAATTTCATTTTATAGTGTAAAGGCATGTTTCATGAACATTGTTTCTGAAGATGCGTATCATGTCTTGAAGTAAACTTTTACTGTGCATGACTGTTTAAAGTGGTTTGAAAACACTATGCTGTTTTTCAGAGCTGATATCTGTTCAACGCCTCAGAAATTCCAAGGGTACCAGTTTCTGTTTTTTGGGAAACTGCTCCATCTTTGCAGGCATCTGGGTGTTCCTCTGGATACCCTCACAAACTTATCTGTATTCCTGGTAGACTCAAATCCACCCCAGTTCTGTTCTTTCCTCAGAAGAACTTCCTCATAAGGCTTCATTTCATTTGTTAAAGGGTCCCAATGCTAAAATAAAATATTTGAAAACCATCAACCTGTTCTGATCCCTTTGTTGACTGTAAGGAAACACGGTTCTTGGGCCTCCTGAGATGGCCCTGCCCCCACCCATATGCCAGAATAGCAAAGCTTTTACCAGTGGAAACTCATATATTTTGTGTCACTGGCCCATTTAAAAAGACTGGGAAGAGGGGCTGGGATTCTGGCTCAGTGATAGAGCACTTGTCAGCACCACATTAAAAAATAAGTAAAGGTTAAAAAAAAAAGTGGGAGAGAGGTCTTAAGTAAATTGTTCCATAATATGTATTCATTGATGAGACACCTTTACTAAGATTCAAGGCCACTTCATCTAATAGTTACTAGAAGCTGTTATTCTAGGTCCTATAAAGTTTACAAGGGACTCCAAAAAATAGCTAAGGTCTAAAACTTCATTGGCTTCAAAATATAAACAGGAAACAAAATTGAAATTAATAAGCTCTAATTCTAATGCACCATATGATAGGGATCAAGACCTCCAAAAATTAGGGCTGGGGATGTGGCTCAAGCGGTAGCATGCTCGCCTGGCATGCATGCAGCCCAGGTTCGATCCTTAGCATCACATACAAACAAAGATGTTGTGTCCGCCAAAAACTAAAAAATAAATAAATTAATTAAATTCTCTTTTAAAAAAAAAAAAAGACCTCCAAAAATTAGAATGTATAAAACCCAGGAAGGTCTTCAAATGGCTCTGCCAAGGTATCTACACACTGATACCTGGGTCTCAATAGGTGAGCCTCTCTCCAAAACTGCTAAGACTGATAGACTTAGCGCAGGTTTGGCCAGGGGCAGCCTAAGACGCTACATTTCTTCTCATTGAGGTATTTGGGCAACTATGATTACTAGGTGCCTCAGATAAGTGATCTTACCTCAAGGGGGCTCACTTCCCCCACTAAAATGAAATGTTTAGAAAAATCCCTAGATCTATGATTCCCCAAGTGAGGAATGGTATGCAAGGTGATTCTTAGGAGGCATAAAAACAAGCATTTTTATTTTGATAGCTAAATATTTACTTTAGTATGCCCTGAGGGGTAAAATATAACTAGCCCTCCAAATCTGTAATTTTGCCAACATTTTACATAACAGACACTTAAAATGTTTAAGTGAATTGATTTAAAGAAAAGATAATTGATTCTATAAACAATTGGACTTGGATGTGACTAAAGGTTTGAAAGTGGTACAGTGCACACTGCCTGAAGTTTGTGAAACTATTGTACTCATTTAGTAACTGAAGCAGTATTTTCAAGTTCCAGAAAACCTGGCAATGTGAATCAACGTAGTAGACTTCATCTAGCCTTTTTGTTACTAATGAAATCAAATTTAAAAGTATAGAAAATACCAGAGTGCTCACTCACAATAAAGGTGAAATTTGTTCTATGAAACTTTTGTAGACAACATCACAGGGTAAAAATGTGTTTCTTGTTAAGAGTCACTCTCAGGGGCTGGGGTTGTAGATCAGTGGTAGAGCACTTGCCTCGTACATGTGAGGCATTGGGTTCAATCCTCAGCACTGCATAAAAATAAATGAATAAAATAAAGATATTGTGTCCATCTACAACTAAAAAAAAATTTTTAAAAAAAGAGTCACTGTCAAAAAAAAAGTTGGAGAAAAGTGCATCTGTGAAGTGCCTTCCTACTAAGTGTCCCCAGGAGTCCATGACCATCTTTAACTTTGTGCAATAACAGATAGTGGACAGCAGAGGTCAGCCAAGCCCCACCTGCATTGGCATCACTTTGACAGAACTCGGAGTTCTGGAGTCTTGGAAACCGTGGGTCGGGGATAGATATCTACCTGGTAGAATAGAAGCCTGAGTTTGTCAACAGGAAATCCAGCTTGCTGCCTCCAGGGGTGACAGTTCCGAATGAGACAGCACAAGTACCCTGGCCTGCCCCAGCATTGTAGCTCTCTTCGGGTCTTCACCCCCAGGTTTGATTCTTGTCTCTAGACTTTTCTGAACCTCCTGGGGATGCTTCAGGTGTCCAGTTTTTCTCAAACTGGATCCTGTGATTCAGGGTTGGGCCATAATCATTGTTCACTTGGAAAATCAAAGCATCTTCGTGGGACATACCCACATAGATTTGGAAGGACTCATGTCCTCCCCCAGTTCTGGAGGAATGTTTCAACATTCCCTTCCCAAAGGTGCTTGGGCACCTAAGAACAGTGAACCTGCGCTGAGCACTCATCCCAACACCGCCACCCCCACCCAGCACCGTTCAGAGCACTCTGTATTCTAACTCATGCCTCTGCACATTTGGGTGAAGTGGGTCAGGATACTAGGGGTGGGGAGGTTAAGTGCCTTGCCCCATGTTCTGGCCAGGATGAAGCAGAGCCAGAATCCAAACCCAGGCAAGCTGGCTCCAAGCCTGGTACTCTTAACCACCAGCTGCTGTTGTGTAAGGGTCAATGCCTTGTCCTCAATGTGACGTTTCAATTTCTAAGGACAGTCAGGGTACAGAGCTCTCAAGAGAAATCCTGGGCAGAGGTCATCAGAAGAGCAGGGATGATCAAGCCCAAGACAGAAAGACACTGCTTCGTTCTCTATCTGAAGGGCTGTCTTTATCAGAGGCAGCCTTGAGAGCAAAGCTGCCTCTGCTCAAAAGATAGGATCAAAAGGTAAAAAAAGTCAAAGAGACACGTTTGGGCTCAGAAAAAAAGGAAATGTTTTAAAAATATATTTATTATAAAATCCTAAATCTACAGACAGACTTAGAAAGCAATACCCATCAGCCAGCTCCATTTGAAATCCCAACCCTATGCCACATGGTTGTCAGATCCACAAGGAAATTTTCTCTAAGGGTTGAGCTGTTCTAGCGATGGGCTTGGCTGCTTCCTGACACACAACAGTGAGCGCACTCCATCCCCTTCAGCAAGAACAGACAAAGGCTGGGTAACTTACCGAGGAAGACAGGCACAGAGGGAATTTATGTTGTCATCACCTGGGATGCCTGGAAGATCCCCCGCAACTGGAGGAGGGAGAGAAAAAGGAAGCCCTGGGTCACATCTCCCTGGCCAGTCTTTGGCCTTTCCCCATCCTCCTACTTCCTCACGAATGGCAACACAATGTTTCATCACCGGCTCTGCCCAAATTGGAGAACATTTTCTGTACCTCTGGCCAGCCCCACCCCACTCCTTAACCCCCCAGTCCATTTTATGTTATTGCCTCCCAGATTCTTCAAAGAGCTGTCTGTACTCATTGCTTATATGTCCCATCCTGATTATCTCTCTCCCCAAATCTGTCCTCCCTGATGTCTCTTCCCACTAGTCTCAATGTCAGATCCACTGGTCTCTTCTCAGTCTCCATCCTCCCTGAACTTCCAGTAGCTTCAGACTTGGGAAATTCCTTTCTCAAAATCTTATCCACCACTGTTTCCATGAACCTGAACTGTCTGACCCCTCATCTTTCCATGTTCTCTTCTCCCACCCCCAAACCCTGCATATGGCCCCAGAATTCTTGTCTTGGCCTTATTTTCTTATTTTGCACATACTGCCTCAGTACTCACAGTGTCAACTGCTGCCTGATTGCTGATGTCCCTCACATCCAGATGCCTCTCTTGAGCCCCAGACCTTCACAGCCCCAAGGTCTCATCCTGGATGAAGTAGATTCCAAGAGTCCAAAATGCCCATCTGCTTCTTGTCCCCAACTCTCCACCTTTGGCCCTATTTCTACATTCCTCTGCCTGCCTTTCCTCAGTAGAATCACCTGTAGTCAGCTACAGAGTGCTAGTAGAATCCCGTTACCTTTGACTTCTCTCTCTCAATCACCTCATGACCCACGGGAGTCAGCCCGATGGATCTGTCCACTCTGTTTCTTGAAGCCAGCCCCAGAGTCATTCATTGTCCAAACTCAGGGTTCCATCCTCTCTCTGCCTAGTTTCCTTCCCTCCTTTCCGAGCCATCTCCAAAATGTTTCCAAAATCATGTTTTTAAAATACATGTCACACCTTCCTTCACCCCCCTTCCTCAGACACTTTTGAGGCTTTCCTGCCTCTCACGCTGTACCTAGCCTGCTCTTCAGTTCTCTGGCATCGCCTATTACTGGGTCGCTCTCTGCTCTCCATGCTCCAGCCACATGTTGCCAATGCTCACTTCTGAGGGGCACACTCAGTGTGATTTGGCTTCAGGAACAGGAAGAGGAGAGCCCCAGGCATGGCAGTTGGTGAAACCACAGAAACTACAGGGTCGGGTGTCCTGTGGAGGCAGCATGCTGGGCTTGTCCATTGTCCTTATCTGACCCAGCAGGCACTTCTGGATGAGGACATGGCCCATACCAGCACCCAGTCAAGCACATCAGTGTACAGAGCCCGGATCCAGTCCCGAGACCTTGAACATCAGGCAGAAGCTGGCTGTGATGCAGGAGGTGCTGCGATTTCCTTGAGCCCAGGAACCAGCCCCATGGCCTGGCCTGGCTTTCCACTGCTTCTGTTCTCATCACCAGCCACCTCCTCTCCTTCCCCCTTGCCCACTGCTAGAGTGTAAATGATGAGTACCACCACCCTCAAGGCCCATGTATTAAAGGCTTGGTCCTTGGTAGTGCTGCTGAGAGGTGGTGGAACCCTTCAGCAGTGGGGCCTAGAAGGAGGTCTTTAGGTCATTGGAGGCATGCTCTTGAATAGAATTGTGGAACTCTGGCCCCCTTCTCTTCCTATTTTGCTTCCTGGCCGCAAGGCACGCAGTTTGTCCCCTCATGCCCCCTCCATCATTACCATCTTAAACTCCTTCCAGAGGCCTAAAAGCTATGGGTCCTCTGATTGTAGACTAGAACCTCTAAAGCCAAGAGCTAAAATAAACCTTTTTTCTTCATAAGTTAATTATCTCAGAAATTTGTTACAATATCAGAAGGTTAACACATCCGCCTTGCTCACCTTCAATAGAATTCTTCCTTCCTTCTTTCCTTCCTTTCTTTCTTTGGTATTAGGGATTGAACTCAGGGACACTCAACCACTGAGCCACATCCCCAGCCCTATTTTGTATTTTATTTAGAGACAGGG